ACACACATATATATATATATATATATATATATATATAATTGGTTTTTTTTGTTTGTTTTTTTTGAGCATGTCTTTTTTGAATTTTGAATAGGTTCATGTAGAACTGCCCTAACCTGTAGTGCTCAGATTTCCATAGCGTCATTTGCCTAAGCTATTGTTTTACAAATCTCATTGTGGAATGCGGAGTAGCAGGACAACCACGGCGCCTGAAAGCTGCTGAACTCCTCCATACGGCCGCATGTCGAACCTAATCTGTTTGAACTTTACCAAGATTCCTGCAGCTAAAGTAATAAATAATAACGCTCCCCATATTGTCCGAATACTTTCCTAGGGTTTATTGCTACACTCATGGCTTAACTTCCTCAGCGGTGACATTTGTGTTTGTTTCTTTTCACTCCGGCCCCCGACAGGCCTTGCTTACAGCCGTGACCTCGCAGCACATAGAGATCCATGAAGGTACGGATCATAATTTGCAATATTAAAGTACTAGAAGGTATATCAGAAGTATATCTCTACTTAAATAATGATCATTAATGACATTGTAAAAAAAAAAATAATAATAATAATAGTATGACATATTTCTGTCAGTTTCTGCAGAAATTGTCTTAATAATTGGAAAATCCCTTTCTGTCATCATAATTTAATAATAATTGTATTATTATTTATTTTATTACTTTATTATTATTATTATTATTATTATTATTATTTAAAACCTATATAAGTATTATTAAATTCAAATTTATTATGACATAAAGGGATTTTCAAATTCTTAAAAAAAAAAAAATTCTGGCAAAACTGGCAGAAATGTCTTTCAGCTCCTAAATGGAAATTCTGTTTATTTATTTAAATGCAGTTGCAATTTTTAATGGGGAATGATTCTGTTTGTTTAAACTACTAATTCAAGAACGTGCTACAACATCTATCTGGCCAGTAAGAACCTCATCAACCAGACCACGGCCAAAGCCACCCTCACGCAGATGCTGAATGTTATATTCGCCCGCATGGAGAACCAAGCAGTGAGTGCATTTGACACTTCTCCTGTGGTAATATGGAGAAATGACACCTTGATCACATTTTTCTTCTTTCTTTTTGGTTGATGCCTCTTCCTCCTCCTCCTTCCCCCCTCAAAATATAGCTTACAAATCACAAGATCAATTGGTCTTTGGCATCAAGAAAGCGAGATCGTCAGGTAAAGAGTGACAGGACTGCCTTGAAATTTGCTTGATCTGACATTTTCTCTGCGTTTGTGTACATCAGTTTCATCCGTCACTCTCGCACTCTGTCTCTCTCTCCGATTCTCTCTCAGACGTCTCGCTCAAGTCTGCTTGCCTTGGCTTCGTTGCGTTTGTTTTCTGCCTGCTGTCGTCCCCTCCATGACAAATGAGTTTCTTTCATCTGTCTTACCATGTTTATTTGTTGTGGAAGAGTGTGATTACAGCAGTTCTCTCTTGTTTGTAAGGCCACGTTTACACCTGGTAGTAACATCCGTCTCAGTTGATTTGGTCGTAAGTTGCTGTTGACAGCTGGTAGTAATTGTCCTGTGACAAACGTGTTTGGATTGTTAGGAAAGTCTTTAATTAATGACTATATATGTTACTCTATGGGACTGGGCAATTTTTTCCTAGAAATTATTTAGACAAGAGTACTACCATTCAAATGTTTGGGATCAGTAAGATTTTTTAACAAGGCTGCATTTATTAGATCAAAAATACAATTAACTTTTTTTTTTTAATATTTTAATCAATGTAATAATAATAATACATTTTATTGTTATTTTTTTACAACTTTTTATTTTTATTATTGTCAATGTTGAAAACCACTTAATATTTTTGTGAAAATCGTAATTGTTTCAGGATTTCTTCCTGAAAAGATTCAAAAGAACAACATTTTAAATGTCTGTAATGTCACTTTTGATCAATTTAATGCATCTTTTCTGAATAAAAGTATTAATTTCTTTAAAAAATACTTAGTTGAACAGAGCAACCAACATTTTAATCAAACATTTGTTGTATTTTCAGAATGTGCCTGTATGTGAATGTAATGTACAGTAAATATACAAATCTTTTTAAAATAATCAAGGTTTTCTCCGTTTTTTTCACTGAATGAAATTTTTTTTTTTTAATAATATGCACTTTTTTTTTAATCATAAACCACAATATTTGTGCACAAAATATTTTAAAATAGACATTTTAATACATAAATATTAGTGCTGTCAAATGATTAATCGCGATTAATCGCATCCAAAATAAAAGTTTGTTTACATAATATGTGTGTATACTGTGTATATTTAATGTATATACACAGTATATACATTAATGTGTATATATAAATACAAACACATGCATGGGATGCGATTAATCGCGATTAATCATTTGACAGCACTAATAAATATTAATGCTCCATGGAAAATTCCACTAATATTTTCAGTAATAATGGCAAGGAAACATTGGATCAGAGTTTTGATTGACTGACACATTATGAAAGTGTATTAAAGGTGATATTCACAACGGTGCTTAATTTTATATACTGCAAAATCATTGCTAGTATATTTTGAATATTCAATATCAAGAAAGGAAGTATAGAAAAAAAATGTCAAGTCAAGTCACCTTTATTTATATAGCGCTTTTAACAATACAGATTGTGTCAAAGCAACTGAACAGCATTAATTAGGAAAATAGTGTCAATAATGCAAAATGACAATAGTAAACACAAATTTTTCAGTTAAAGACAGTTCATCATTGAATTCAGTGATGTCAACATCCAGCTCAGTTTAAATAGTATAATGTCATTGTTTTTCTGAAATACACTTTGATCACGACATAAACAATGTTTTGAGCAGAATTGTTGCACAATTATTTTAGTCGATTAACTTCAGATGATAGTGTGTCACATGATTAGTGTTGTTCAGGACACATTTTGCACTGAGCGATCGAATCGAGAATTATTTTGGACCTTGTTTACAATTGTATTTAGTGTTGTCATTTGATTTCGTATCATCCGAGATGGATGTTGATGCCAGGAGCAAATGCGACGTGTCTGTATCTTTGTGGATTAGATAGCTGCATGTGGATGAGGACAGTGAGGTGCAGTTTAGATGTTTCACAGTCGCTGCAATGATCAAAAGGATGCCACTTTGAAAGTGGGGCTTGCGGTTTTGGCACAAGCTAAACACACTGTCGCGCAGTTTTAGCAGTCTGGACGGAGCGTGACTTATTCTGACACCGCCAGACACATCATGCATAACTAATCAGCTGTCCAATATTGAAGATGTGTTTGTTTGAGGGTTAGGGTTAGGTTAATTACTCTATCTTGAGATTTGAATTAGTTTGTTTATTTTATTTTATTTACAAATATAACTTATAATGCATATATACTATGTTAATTACAAATTATTTACATTGAATTATTGAATCTATTAACAGACCTAGTTTAATTTTATATTTTATATAAGATATTGATTTATAATTGTTTTTTTCCTATTTATTTTCTAGTTTCTATTTACTAGGTATCAGATGCTGGTATTATATCAAACTATTTATTTACTTACTTATTTACAGCCCCATTTTCATTTTATCAGTTGCTAAGCCCAAGGTCTTTTGATTCACTATGGATACCAGGGTAGGAGCTGGTATTGTACCAAAGCCAAAATGTTGTTTTTGACCCAGTCTTATTGCTGTCTGTACATGTTCAGTTTGTATAAGCTACCAGCTCAGATTCAGTTGTCATACTTGGGCCATTTGGACCCTGTGTGTGTGTGTTTTTTTTTTTTTGACATGGTATTTGTGTCTGAGACAAAATATGCAGATGATAAAATATTTTTTTTAGTCAGGATTGCATAATGTGGCATGTTCACCATCACTGATGGCAGATTGATTCCCCCTGCAATGAATTTTAGTGCCATAGCGCCTATGGAGAATTTGAAGATGCTACTTGATCCTTCTTGCGAAACACAAAAGACAGTGAAAATCAAGAGTCCAAAGTTTTTTTGTACACCATTGACTTTCATTGTGTATGCAATATCTTCTTTTGTGTTCCACTGAAGAAAGAATGTTCTACATGTTCAAAACTACATGAGAGTAAGTAAATAACGACAGAATGTTCATTTTCGAGTGAACTGCCCCTTTAAGAGTCATACACTTATCCTGCTTTAAAGGGGTCATATGATGTGCGAAAGCAAAAGCACTTTATTTGGCCTTCCGAAAGTAGATGTTAAGATTTTAAGATTTATTTACAACAGAACAGCACAACCCAGATTTGTGCAACACATTTTATGGACTACAGTTTTGTGAACCTAGGAGAGTAGCCTACAAGGCTGGCTGTGCAAAGGCTATTTCTAAAAAAAAGTCACAATTCCGACTACTGTAAGTATGTTTTATATTCTGTTACACCAAATACACCAAATAATGATCTTTAAAATAGCATCATATGACCCCTTTAAAACACCAGTGTAAGCATGTGCGTAGTCCAGATTGTCATTCCAGGTGCATGTAGTCAAACCACCATCTGTCTCTATGAACACAGACATTGTCTTCACATACAGTAAGATGCTATAAGATCCTGGTCTTGTGTTTCTTTTTGTTTTAAAAGACGAGAACCGTCTGTATTCCTAAATGTAATCATTTGCCTCCCGTTCAGAGAAATGGATGGACATCAGCTTGGCTTTGGGCTCCCGGCTGCCCCGGAGGAAACATGAGTGTATAAACTCACTCTGATTCATGTTTAAAATGAGTTGACTTTGTGTGTATGTGTGTTCCAGCTGCAGGAAGCCAAGCAGATGGAAAGAGAGAGGCACAGACAGCATTCTCCAGTCAGCCAGCAAGAACCAGAGTCTCCTGGACAGCGGCACATCGACACCCCCGGCAAAAGCCTGCCCATGGAGGCTAACGGTGGACCGGGACACCAGGGCAGCAAGGTCGAGCAGGGATCCCCACCGTACGAGAGTCCCGAACCAGAGAACGGCACAGACTTCTGCCCTGCGGAGAATGAGCAGACCGAGGCAGACCAGGCTACTGCTGCTGCGCAAAGTAAAGAGAAGCATGCAAACATGCAGAGATTAATTTAGTTTTAGGGTTCTATGTTAATGTAAATGATTATGGTAATTTCTCTAAATGACTCTAGACACCAGTGAAATATTCTAGGAGAATGCTTTTCATTATTGCCTCAGTTCACTTGGTTATAAATGTGACTGAAAATGTAGGGTGTATTCAGAAAGAGTTTCAGATTTTCTTTTTAAAAGATACATTTGGGAAGTCTTGTATAGATTGTAATTTTCAGTTTGAATATTTTTTGTATTCATTTAAACGATACAGTTTTGTATTTATTTATTGATTCCACCTTGTTCTTGCCATGAGCTTTGGTGCTGATATGTCATTAAAGTTCACCAGAAAATGATATTTCTGTAATAATTTACTCAGTCTCATGTTATGCCAAACCTTTAAGACTGGTTAATCTTTGAAAAATAAATTAAGATATTTTTAATAATACCTTGTGAGTTTTCTGTTTCTCTATTCAAAATCCAGACAACCAAAACTTAGAAGATTCAAATCTTAATTTGTGATTTGAAGTCTAACCAAGGTCTTATTGGTTTGAAATGACACAAGGGTTAGTAAATGATGACAGAATTTTCATTTTTGGGTGAACACTCCGTTTAGGTTGGTAGAGTCTCTATTTTTATTTGGTTACCCTCCTCCTCCCAACACTGCTAGACACAACCAAGCTCTGATTCCTAGTCATTATTAGTTAATCGTGTATTCAGGCTTGACATCAGAACAGATAAGACGTCTTCTAATGATGTGTCACTATTGGAAAACTGTGTCAGTGTCTTACGTAAGTTTAATAGCACAGCTTTCCATCAGAACCTCACCAAGTTACAGGCAGTATGGAGTTCCCTCTTAATAACACGTATTAAAGCTAAATTGGGAAACTGATAACGTGGATTTAATGTGACTACAGAGCGTGCTTGGAGGGAAAATCCTCCTATCGCACCATGAATGCCTGACTAGACAGAATTAGACGCTTAAACGTACTCGGCTGTCTTTTTAGGTGCGGCAGAGCATGGCACGGAAGCCACAGAGGAAGAAGAAAGCCAGAACTATGAAAAGAAAGCGCAGGAGATCGTACAGAGTATTTTGCAAGAAGTTGTAAACACGGTTGCTGGAGGTGAGGTATATTCATTTTGCTTAAAGAGACAGTTGGGCATTTCACCCAAAAACTAAGTGTCACCTATTTTTGTGTGTATTTACTGATCAAACGTTTAGGGTCAGTAAGATTTTTTTTGACGTTTTTGAAAGAAGTGTTTTCCAAGGCTGAATTTATTTGGTCAAAAATACAGTAAAAACTGTAACATTGTGAAATATTATTACAGTTTTCTATCTTAATATATTTTAAAATGTAATTTATTCCTGTGATGGCAAAGCCGAATTTTCAGCAGCCATTACTCCAGTCTTCAGTGTCACATGATCCCTCAGAAATCATTATTATATGTTGATTCTGTGCTTATAAAACAGTTCTGCTGCGTAATAATTTTGTGAAAACCATAGTAAAATGTGAAAACATTTTATTCAGGTTTCTTTGATGACTCGAAAGTTCAAAAGAACAGCATTTTTAAAATTATAATTGTATTAAATAATTATTAAAAGTATTACTTTTGTGGGGGAAAAGTTACTAATACATTCTTTAAAATGTCTAATTTTGTGTACTACAGAAATCAGACAGGTTTGTAATAACCTGATTGTAATGACAGGTGAGAAAATGATTACAGAATTTTCACTTTTTGGTGAACTGTCCCAAATCAGGAAGCAAATCTTTAGGTTTTGGATGGCTAGACTAGTGACTGTTTGATTTTGGTAGCGATACACTTTAAACATCCCATTTGACCCGAAGTCTGTTTTTCTGTGTTCAGATGTTAAGGAAAGCCGTGAGAGCGAGGCTGGGCCAGCTGAGGGTATTCCAAACTCGCTGGAAGAGGAGGGAGGGCTGGGCAGCGACAACGAAAGTGTTCACGTCAATGGCATCCCTGGCACACCCATCTCTGCGAGCTTCACTCCGTCCCTCCCCGACGACAGACTGTCTGTCTCCTCCACTGACACTCAGGTACCAGTTTCCACTTCTGCCATGAATGGGAAAAAAAGTCAAATGGCTTCTTGTTTACACGTGTAATTGGTTTGACTGGCTTGTTTGTCCAGGACTGACTTCATTGATTTAATTCAATTAAATTTTAGGATTTGTTTGTGATGTCACAAACCATGATGCGCTCCTTTCTCTCAAGTGTTTTGCTACAATATCAAACTGCTCCTGTGAAATGTTTTGTAAAAAAGCAGTTCTCCTCATCCTCATCTTTTTGAATGAGCAGCTAGAAGTAATAAATAAAGCATATACACTTTTGGAAATAAGAGTCCTGGTGTTTTTTTCACCCGTTTCTTTGCTCACACAGTAAACAGTGTCTGGCCTTTAATTCAACAAAATTGTGTATCCTCTCTTTAGGTCACCCCAGCACAGGAAGGAAAGACTAAGAACATTATTTGAGACATTCAATATATAGATATTTCCTAGTATTGTTACAATCTTGTTATTGCCTTTCTTTAAACACAATATTATCGCATCAGCAAAATCCAATATCGATCGACCTCTAATTAACTTGTATTGGTATTTAAGTGCGTAGACCAGTTTCTAGAGATGCACCGATCGATCGGCCAGGGATCGGAATCGGCCGATTTTCCTCATGATCGGCCCGGATCGGTGATCTCTCACACACACGTCTCATTCGCTCCGGTTAAATAGTGCTTGTATTGCGCATTATTTTAGTCATTCCCGCAGGTTTCGCGCTTATACCAAACACGCGCGCACCACCACTGATCTATATTAGTGGAGCGCACAATCCGCGCTCAGTCTCAAACAGCTTGTGAGCCACAAATACCAAAATGAGTGGCTAACTGCGCTAAAACGTTCAAATACATAAAAAATTGTCAAAATGCCCGTCACAGTCAGTTTTGGAACGCTAAATAGCTGAGAAAGAGAACGCATGTTGTGTAACAGTATATTGGGTCCGTGGATAAACTCTTACAGGGACTGCAGTCCAATATTCGCTGAAAAACTTAGTTTCATAGCTCTCTTTATTCTATTGCATTTATTTGTGCTGTTGTTTGCAATTTTTTTTATTTGTTCTTATTTTATTACTGACTTTACTTGTGTTTTTTATGAAAATAATACTTTGCGTTGAAGAAAAGTAGATTTTTGTTTGTATATGCTGTCAATTATAGTTCTTAGAAAGAAAATCGGAATCGGCAAAAATCGGTATCGGCAGATCACACTAACAAGAAATCGGAATCGGCCAAGAAAATTGCAATCGGTGCATCTCTACCAGTTTCAGTAATTATGCATATATTGAATAAAACATGAGTCTTAAATATTTTAAACTTGCATATAAACTTGAATATTTCAAACTTGCAGTTACCCTGTTTTGCAGCTGAATATATCCCTGTTTAATTAAAAAAAAAAGAAAAAAGTAAAAGAATCTCAGATTCATGATTTGTTTTGAGATTGAATGGGTTTGTTCTGTATGAACATACAGTATTAATTTTATACAAAAGTCTTACTGGATTTTAAAAACTCTGCAGAAATCCTGTTAATAAACACAAAGGTATTCATGGTTTTTTTTTTTTTTTAAGTGTCACAAGTGTCCAAATATTTTTTGGGGCCATTGTATATGCTTAATGGACCATAACGCCAATTTTATGGCCTGTTGCTTTTTTATGGTTGATGCATGTTACGTACTATAGATGATGATTCATTTTCCTGGCAGTTAAATTTGATTGCTGAAGGATTCTAACATGAGCATTTCTCCCACAGGAATCGGTAGCTACCACTGGTTCAGCACCAGGTGCAAAGTTTTCCCATATTCTCCAGAAGGATGCATTCTTGGTTTTCCGTTCACTCTGCAAGCTCTCCATGAAGCCCCTTTCAGACAGTCCCCCTGATCCGAAGTAAGCTTGTCTTTCTAAATAAAACTTCTGACTGTATACGAAAGGAACTGTTTATTTGTTGTACCAAATATTGTGCCAAAAATGACATCCCCAGTCTGGATCCAACTGAGTTTGATGTGGTTATATCCTATCTGAGATCTGTGGTTTTAGTGTGAGTGTGTGTGTGTTGACGGCATCAGTCCGTATTGCACAGAGTTGAGTTATCTATATGGTTTTATCAGCTGTCGTCCCATAACAGGTGAATAGGGCTGTCAGAGGGCAAGAGAGATGCTCCTCCCTGTTGTTTGAAGAGAAAGAGAGCCATTCATTCTGGTTTATCTTCAGGGGCAGTGAGGAAGGAAGCTTGTTTCAGTGCTATTGGTCACTCTTTGTCAAATGGAATGAGACCTGTTGACCACTCTTGATTTACATCAGGACAGGTCCTGGACTTTATTTATTAGTGGTGCATGCTAAGGCAAGCATACTTGGAGGCTAGGGACATAAATGATGCCTCAGATCATGCCGTTTGTTGAGGAGAGGTTACATTTTTAACCTTTTTTTTATTACTTGTGTTTAAAGTGATTGAACTAGAGGACAGTAAAATGGGCTTTCATTGAAGGATCTTTTAGAAGCCACTTAGAAACTGCCTACAACACCTTAAGTGCCCTGACAACCGTCCAGAAAATGTAGCTTCATTTTGTTAATTAGTACAGTTAGTACAGGTTTGGTAGCTGTTTCTATAGAGTACCCTTGGATTCTGTTGCTGGATAGTTTTGAGAATTACTATATTAATATTTAATTAAATACTTAATAATTTAATTCATGAAAATTGGGTATTTTAATGAAACTGTATTGTTGTGTCATCTGAAAACCATAGTCCAGTGTTATTTTAATATTATTTATTATTTATATGCTATTATTATTTTTTTTTTTTAGCTTTTATTCTTAGATTTTCAGTTTTTGTTTTAAGTTTTAGTTTAGTTCTATGTGCTTTTGTAATTATTATTACGTTTGTCTTTTTTAGTATTTCTCTAAAGCTTCAATAGATTTTAGTTCAACTTAAACTTTTCACATTTATAATAACATTTCTAATTTTCGAAGTGTTTTGATATTTATATTTTATTTTGTTTGAGTTTTGTTTTAATTACCGAAAACTATTTTTTAATGGTTTTAGTAGTGACTCTGAAAGCTTTATTCTTTTCTCTTGAACGATAAGCTAACTTTTGGATTATTGTACAGCTACGACACTAATTAACACTAAACACAATCAGCTAATGCCTGCCACCAGCAGAACCTATTTATTTTGAATTCTCGATATTTTTGGATTTTCTTAATGTGTCTTTCTTTGGCCATGTCAGTGAGGAAATTTTAAGTATTTAAATACTCAATTCATTCGTTTTTATGCAGTTTTCACCCCGGTAAGGCAAAAGTTAAAGGGATAGTTCACCCAAAAATGAAAATTCTGTCATCATTTACTCACCCTCATGTCGTTCCAAACCTGTATGAGTTGCTTTCTTATGTCGAACATAAAAGAAGA